CGACATACGTTTAAGTATATTTGTTTAGTTTTAACTTTTTCTAATCAAAATTGATAATTTTTTAGCAGTAATTGAATAAAGTTTATATTAGATATTGTTACATGAATGGTTTTATTTGATTAATCTTGTAAACTATTTTTAAAATATTATTTTTTAAAATTAATATATCATGTAATTTTTATCTAATTATAGGTCAAAAATCAATGATATATTTATACATGATTGAATGATAAAAGTCAAAGTTGACGAAATACTCCAAAATGGAGGAAATATAAAATCGGTTGTACTTCGTGCTATTGACTCCCTTCCATCCATGTGAGTTTTTTTTGTTTGTCTCAAAATAAGATTCTCATGCCTTCAAGAAAATGAAATAAGTGACCCATGTTAATTCTCTCCTTCTCATTAATCTCAACCAACAAAATTTAGTTTTCTTAAATTACGTGAACAAAAAAATGAAAAACTTAATTTACAATAAATGGTAAAAATTTTACAAGTTTCTAATTTACTTCACTTCCTTTTTTCTTACGTAGTACTCCGTTTCTCAAAAATTAACTGATACACTCCTACTCTTTGGCTTGTCTAAAAAAACAAAATATTGTTGAATACTTTTTTTGTCTTTCTGTTTTAATTTTTAAAAAATTTAAATGATGGAGAATTTTGTGTTGATTTTCCAAAATACCCTTAATGTGATTGATAAAAGTAGGATATGATGAGTAGATTATTAATAAAAAGGCATGATGCGATATGTTAAGGATTAGTAGATGGTAAAATAAGTTTTTAATAAATAAAGGATTTTGTGAAACAAAGAAAAAAGAAAGATGGAAAGAGTTTCTGACATGAAAATAGTACTTCCTCCGTCCCAAAAAGAATGGGACGGTTTGACTTTTTAGGAAATTAAGGGGGGATATTTTGGTATTGACTTTCCAAAAATACCCTTGATGTGATGGATAAAAGTAGGATGTGATGGGTAGATTATTAGGAAAAAGGTATGATGTGATAGGTAGGGTATGAAAAAGTAAGGGGTAAAACTGGTTTTTTAATAGAAATGTAACGGACTTTATGAGACGCAGTTTTTTCTAAACGTAACAAACTTTTTGGGACGGAGAGAGTATTTTTTTTAAAAGTTTTTTTATAAAGTACTCCCTCCGTCCACCAAAGATCTTCTCATTACGCGTTACGAGACTTGACCAATTAAAATTTTAATTCAATTTATTTGATTGTAGGGGTAAAATTTAAAAATAATATTTGGGGTCCGTTTGGTATAAGGAATTAGTAGAATTGGAATTGAATTGGAATTGGAATTGTAATTCCATGAGATTCAATTTCATAGAATTGATTTCTGTCTATTTTAATTCATTTTTTACACTATCAATTCCAAATCTACATAATTTTTGTGCTATCAAACACTAGAATTGAAATTGAAATCTCCAATTCCAATTCCATAGTTTGAATTCCATGTACCAAACGGAGCCTTATATAGTAAAAAATTACATAAAAAATTCTACAAAACTAGCAGTGACAAAACTATAATTTTTACGAAATGAGTAGTAAAAACAAGCAAACAAAATCAGTTAAGTTTGACTCTATGAATAATAACTCAGAAGATCTATGGCGGATGGAGGGATAAAAGAGACTTGGTTTATATTAAACATTTCTTCATTGCTTTGATGCTTTGATGCCCCCACCATTTTCATTTTTACGAGTGAGTGAGCTGTGCGGCTATATTGCTATAAAAACAACCTCTCCAACTTCTTCAAAACCCTCTTCCATTATCTCTCCTCCTCTGTTATTTTTCCTTCTTCTTCTTTCCTCAATATAATCTCCATATTATATATTAATGCTTCATCTCATAGTCGTGTTCTTGATGTTCAACATTCATGTCTCCCGTTCTCAGTGAAATCCTCCGGTCGGGGTTCATAATCAGCTCCTCCCTCCGACGCCGGAGCCACCTCGTTCAGTCTTTCTCCGTCGTCTTCCTCTACTGGTTCTATGTTTTCTCATAAACACCTCTCCCCTCACATATCATCATCTATTCTACCTAATATATAAAAAAAACCCTTTTTTAATTTTAATTTTCTCTCTTTCTTGAAAAAAAAAACCCAAGAAACAAGAAAGATCTTAATTTTCTACTACTGTAAATAAATTAAAAAAACAAGAAGAAGAAGAAGAAGAAGAAGAAATGGATTGTTCGAGCGGAAACTCGTGGGGTTGTGCGGAGAAGATTCGGGTTTCCGGGTCGGAAGGAGATCCGATGGACGAGCGGAAGAGGAGGAGAATGGAATCGAACCGGGAATCGGCGAAGCGGTCGAGGATGAGGAAGCAGAAACATCTGGACGATCTGACGGCGCAGGTGGGACATCTGAGGTCCGAGAACGCGCACATCCTTAAAAACATCGACCTCGTCACCCGGCATTACCTCGGAGTGGAGTCCGAGAATTCCATTCTTAAGGCCCAGGCGATGGAGCTCAACCAGAGGCTGGAATCTCTGAATGAGATGATCAGCTTTGGATCCATCTTTGACTTTGACTCTTCGGCGGAGGTGGTGGTTCATCACCACCAACCTGGGCTTGGGCTTGGGCCTGGGACTGGGCTCGTTGACAGTTTCGTGACCAATCCGTGGATGCATATGAACCAGCCCATTCTGGCCTCTCCGGATACCATGTTCCCATACTGAGGAGATGATTTGGGATCCGAGAAGAAGAAAGAGGGGGTGAGGGTAAAATGGTCATTGCACTTTATTTGATTATTGTGTGACAAGACCGCAAAGGTTTATTAATAAGGATGTGATAAGATATAAAATACGGAGTAGTGTATAATATGGTATTCTGAATAATGACAATTGGTTTGGGGGGGGGGGGGGGGG